ATTATTATTATTATTATTATTAATATTATATAAGCTAAATATATAACTAAAGGTGCTTTTTTCAATAAATATATCATTACCCTAGTTTAAATCTATATAGCCTATTAATTATAAATTATTTCCAAAGTAATTATATACTTTAAATATATATAGGAACTTATATATATATCCCTATATTTTATTTAATTCTTTTATATGCTTTAATCCTAGGTTTACCATATATCTAGCTAATTCATTTATAAAATAAGTTAAATTTAGCCTTATTTTTAAGGTAACATATAATATAAACCCTATTTATTATTAATATAATTCTATAATATTTTTATTAAATTCATCCATATATTTTTCTAGTTTTCTATTTAAGGTATATGGAGTAAGTTAAGGGATTATTTCCTTTTTTTTAACCTTTTCTTTTATATTAAATCTTTTTAATATTTTATCCACATATTTATTTTAATTTATAGTTATTTATTTATTTTTTTCTATTTATATATATATCGCTTCCAAGGAAATCTATTAAATTTCCTTAAAAATTTAATTTTATATTCTTATATAATTTATTAATTATTAAATTTATATCATTATTATTAGGTTTTATAATAATAATATCATCCATATAATATATAAATATAATTTATTTATTAAGGTATATAAATACCCCTTTATTATATAAATAAATAATAAATCCTAGCTTAATTAATATATTTTTTAAATATTTATACTAAAGCATAAGTAATTATTTTAGCTTATATAAAGCTTTATTTAATTTTATAACTTTATTTTTATATTTTAATTTATTATATATATATACAAGTAATTTTATATATATTTTAAAATCAATATTAAAGTATAAAAACGCGTTTTTAACATTATAATTATATATATAATATCCTTTATTTATTACTATTATTAATAGCATAATATAAATTTTAAGGCAGCAAACTATAAAAAAAGTTTTTAAATAATTTATGCTTAATTTTTAATTATATCCCTAAATAACTTATTTAAATTTAAATTTAATATTATTCTCATTATTTACTACTTAATTAAGCTTTATAATAGCTAAATTATTTATAAATTTCTTTTTATATATTCATTTCTCCCTTAAAGCCATATAACCAAGTAATAAATCCATTATTATATAAGTATTTTATTCTTATAAACTATATATTTCATTTAGCATAAATTTAATCCATAAGGGTTTTTCTAAGTTATTTAATACCTTTTTTTAAAAAAAAGGTTTATTAATAATAGCTATAATTAAGCAGTATTTTAATATATTTTCTTAGGAATTTAATATAAATATTTAGTTATTTAATAATATATCTTATATAATATATATATAATCTTTTAAATTCCCTTAAACTATTATCTCATTTAAAATAAAAGGAAAATTTACTTCCCTATTTTCTTCCCTTTATTCTTGCAATTTTAAAAATATATATATATTATTATTATTATTATTAATATTAATATCATTATTATTTATATATTATCCTTTTAATATTTAAATATCTTAAATTAATATAGGCTTTTTAATATTTATATCCTATACTTAATATATATTTAATTCTAAAATTATATTTAATAATATACCCTTTTTATTTTTAAGCTTTAATTTAATTTTATAATTATTATTTTAAAAATATATAATAAATCCCCATATTTTTAAGTTATTTATATAGAGCTTCTTTTTATTTATTACCTTATAAAAGCACTTATACCCTAGGTTTTTATAAGGTATAATATTATATAAATATATAGCATATTTTATTGCTTCTCCCTATAGGTATATAAGTAAATTTACTATATATAAAAAGCTTTTTATTTTATTTATTATAATTAAATTTAGTCTTTCTATTAAGATATTTAATTCTTTTATATATAAGGGTATTATATAGTAATTTATAAAGTATTTATTTAATAAGATTTTAAATCTTTTATTTATATATTTACCTTTATTATTAATAAATAATTCTTTTATTCTTTTATTATATTTATTTTCTGCCTTATTTTTATAATTATTAAAAGCTTTTAATACTTTATTTTTATTTTTAAGCAAAGAAATTTTTAAATATTAAGTTTTTTTATTAAGAAATAATATATAATATTTATATTTATTATATATAAGTTTTAAGAAACCGCTTATATTATTATATACTCTTTTAAGTATATTATATACTTAGTCATTTAAGCTAGTTTTATTTATTTTAATTATATGCTTAGCTTTTAAGTATACTTTACAATTATTTATATATTTTTAAATAAGTTTATTTATTAATATATTTATTTTATTTTTTTAAAGAAATATTTTTAAGGCTTAAATATTTATATAGCTTAATTTATAATGCTATTTATGTATTTCTTTTTTATTTTTAATATTTATATTTAAATTTTATTAAATTATATATATTTTTAAGAGGTATATTTAAGCTTATTTATTTATTTTATTATATTAATTTTTATAAAGTATAAGCTATTTTTTAATATCCTTAAGTTATTAGCTTATTTATTTTTTAAGAGTATAATTTAATAATATTTCCTTTTAATTCTAATTTAATTTTATTACTTATATACTTATAATTAAGTATATTTAAATTTAAAGAAGGTATATAATATATATTAAAGAATTTCTTTATAATATTTATTTTTAAAAACTTAATTATTAAGTCCCTTATTTTATTTATAAATATAATACTTGCATTACTTTATTTCATGGTTTTATTAATTATATATATAATATTAAAAAGGCATATATCTTTAAAACTTATTATATTTATAGTAATATTTATAGTTATTTTTATGGAATTTATATATTATTAATTTTCTATAAATTTATTATTATTAGCTATTATTATTATTATATATATATATAAGGTATATATAAAGTTATTTACTTTAATTTTTATTAGGTTATTAAAAGAAAATTATAAGCAGAGTTGTGAAATACAAACCAAATACAAGATACAGATACAGATACATATATAGATATAAAAAAATACAAAATATAAATATAAATATAGATATAGATATAAGAAAAAATATAAATATAAATATAGATACAAATACAGTATTTTGTATTAAATACTGTATCTGTATCTATATCTATATTTAAATATAATATATATATATATATATATAAAAGAAATTTTTTTAATTCTTTTAAATTTTTAAATAAATAAATAAATTTTTAAATAAATAAAATAAAATTTAATAAATTAAAAGAAATTTTTTAATTCTTTTTTTTCTCTTTTATATATATATTATTATTTTTTATATTTATATTTATATTTTGTATCTGATATAAATACAAATACAAAAAAATACAGATACAAATACAGATACAGATACAAAAAAATACAAATACAAATACAGATACAAATACAGTATTTTGTATCAGATACAGATACAGATACAAGATACATAAATACAGTCACAACTCTGGTTATAAGAGATTTAATAAATTCTTATTATATTTAGTATTTTTTATTAAATTATTTATAGCTATATAAGCCATAAGTTCTTTTTAAGCGCCTTTTAAAGCCATGGAAAACTTTATGCTAATTAATAAAGCTAAAAGTTAATTTTGCATTTTCTTTTATTTCTCTTAGCTTATATTCTTCCTTAAAAAACTTAATCTTTCCTTTTTTTATTTATTTATTTTTTAATTAATAAGTGCCTTATTTAAATAAAGGAAATAGTAATTTTCTTAAGTATACCCCTTTATTTTATAATTAAGGCATATAATAATCTTTTTTTTATTTTTCTTACTTTTTATATATAAAGCTTTTTTAAATAATTTAAAGGTTTTCCCTTTAATTTTATTTAATAAGCTAAAAAAAAAATTTAATTATATAAGCATTTAAATCTTTTTTAAAACTTTAAGTTATATTTTAAATAAAGCTAATATATTTATTATTTAAGCTATAAAAATTCCAGCTAATTATAATTTATTTAAAAAGAATTATATTATTAACCTTTAAATCCTTTAAAAGAAGCTTTAGCTTATTAATATATTCTTTTATAATCTTAAAATTATTAAAATTAATATTAAAAAACTCTTTATAAAGTAAATATTAGCTTATAAATTTAAAGAGTTTATAATAAGATTTAAGTATATCCTATGCTTTTTAAGCATTATTTATATCTTTTATAAATATAATAAGCCCTTACCTATATATAAATTTAATATTAATAAGAGCTCTTTAATTTTAGGCTAAAGATAAGCCTTAAAAAAATTCTTAAAATTATTCTTAATAACGTTTTCTTTCTTAAGCTAAGCTTAAATTTTAACGCTTTAATATATATAATTTTTTATTTTATTAAAAAGTAGAATATTATATTTATTAAGAAATGACATTTTAAGATAAATAAATAAAGTATCCATTAAGATAATTAAGATAATAAAAAGAAAGATATAATGAATTTTAAATGAATTTAATGAGTTAAGGAATAGAGATATAGGTATTAAAGTAGTATAGTTATAAAGAGAAGAAGAAGGGCTTTTAAATGGTATATTTTTTATATGGGTAGGTTAAGTATTGGTGGAGAAACGGTTAAGTGTTTAAGTAGATGAGGTATGGTTTTTATGTATAGGCTCCGGGTTAGGAAAAAAGGTTGATTTATAACGTTAAATGGGGCGATCTAATTAGTTAAGGGCTTATTAATTAGCCTAATCAAGTAATTAATTAAAAGGTATATTTCTAAGTATAAAGCTTATCTTATTTAAAAGGTTTAAGAAGTGATGGCAATTAAGGGTGTCACGTAATATACGTTTTCCGTATTGGGTTAGCCATTTTCCATATCGGGTTAGCGTTGCCGTTTTAGGTAAGCTTCGGGCCTTATAACCTATAAGAAATAATAGCATTAAATGCTTAGTTTATTAAGCTAGCTAACGTTTATTTTACGGGAGGAAAGGCCCCTATTTATAGTTATTATCCTCCATACAATGGCAAACGTATGGGGAAAAGGATATCCCGTATTAATAATAGCCTAGATATCTAGAATATTCCAACACAGCAGTGGCTCAATGCCATATAGCGAACGCTTCTGGAACGGCTCGAATTGACTATTATCAGTCGTTGAGACTCATCAGCTATGTCTATAAGCCTCAAAGGGTATTCGAAATCGCTTTTGTCCTCGTTATTGCACTCCGCGTGGCTCTTCTCGCATCTGGCAAGCCACTCACTGGCCAGCTGGATGCACCCAGCCAAGGATGGGCATTTCAGACTTTGTTTGTAAGGTTCAAGGTTTAGAATAGGTGCCTCGATGCCGTCTAGAATCGCTGTTACCATTTCATGAAGTAGCAGTCAGCACCCCAATCTGGGAGGCGAAATTTGCTTACCTTCCCGGTAAATAACCATGTGCTCCTTCGATTGCCAGTCAAGTTCGCTGTCGTTTAATATCATGAGAAATCGATCGTCCCTGCGCAGCACCTCCATGTAAGACCGAGATCCCTTTGGCTCTGTTATGCACTGTTTCTCACGGGCATCACGGAGGATAGCCACGACCATCCTGCACCGAGAACACCCCAAATTCGCCGTCTTAAAGTAATCCTCAAACACGTTTTCCTCGAATTCGGCAAGATTTGGCCACTCCGCCGACATGGAACAGTGGCATTTCGAACATCTCTTATCAGAGGAAACCGAGATCTCTTCGGCGGAAATTGCATTCATCTTGCATCGCAGTATTTGATATGCGCATTAAAATGTGGCAAAGTTTGAGGCGATAACATCCGAGCCCCTCTTCTGATGCAACCGATGTCAGCATTGTACCACTTGAATGCTTACGTGTATCCAAGCACTGAGTAAGCAACAGTCGATAGTATTTGATCTTGTAGATGTGTACACGAATATTCTGGGCCGTCTGCGAATTATCTGCAAGTGGCGCCTCAAGGCATTTGGATCTTCTTCCTCCTTGATCACAATGCAGGTTTGGATGCTGCAAGACAACGATGGGGGCTTGGACTTCACATCGCTGCGATAATTGACGGTTTTGATATAGTTATGTACTTCCGACGCATCGATAAGTCATAAGCGAAATATGGGAAGGAATCGATGAAACATATACCAGGGCTCGAAAATTGCTGCATCTGAGCTTAACGGTATATAGTACTGTGTGCAAGCTCTAGACTCTGTTGTAGTGCCAGTGCTTGTTGGTTTTGGCATCGTATACACTTCTAGTACCTAATTATTGTTGAGGTAAAATTTTATGATTAGCGATCAACCTCCATTGATCTGCCCAGAATATGCTGATGATAATTATGCCTTTATAAGAAGATTAGGTCCAATGAGTAGGTCCCTGTACCCCGAAGACCTAGAAATTGATTGACTTGATCCGATTACTAAAGACACTCTGGGCATCTTACAACCTTATGAGAACACTAGGAAGATATGATACTTCCTGTAATAGAGATAGATATCAGGATAGTGCAATGACTGGGATGTAGGCCGAGAATTCGTCCAGTTACGTTGAGCTCCTCCTGTGAAGCTTCAGAATTAGGGTCCATGGAGAACCCCTTGTGAACTTAGCAACACACAGAATTACCTAGGAAGTATTCGGGCTCAAATTAGCTACGTGTCATGTTTTATGAGCTAGCACATCTCAGGCCATGTATTCAAAATGGGTGGGTAAGCTGAATTGCATCCTTTCTCAAGGGCACTGGACTATGGAAGGTGGGCTCAGAAGCATCGCGGACGTGTATTTCCAACCCTTGGTCACAGATTCATCCCTGTCCCCCCGTGGACTGGAGTACAGCGAACCTGGAGCACATGATATTAAAACTCCTCAGTGTATATACATTTATCTATAAATCACACTAGAGTTGACTATGTTGCGTTCACAGTTACAGAGCCTGGTGTTCCAATCTTCATACCGAGAACTTGATAGGGACCCAGAACGATGTCATTTGCACAAATGCAGGATTTCTGAGAATGTCCAAACAGCCACAGATCCAGTAATTGCATAGAAACACCATGCCACAAAAAACACAGTGCCAGCCTCGCCCCACACACGACGTTCACATGCCAAAGAGACCCGCCACTTCAGCCTCGCGGTCGCGGCCCAAGACCGGAACAACGGGCTCTCCACCAGCACCAGCACCAGCACCAGCGCTGGGGGTACCGCACTGATGCCGTCCAAACAAAGAACAGACAAACACATACGTGCTGTTTGCGTCGCAGGCTCGGTCACTACCATCAAGGGTCTCGCCCCGTCGACAGGACCCTCGAGCTAGCGCGCCCGTCAGAAATGCCAGGTGAGAAGCGGATCCTCTTGGCAGGGCACCATCGTCTCGCCGACTGGAATGGGCCAGGGGGAAGCTCCATCTGGTCTCAGATTGAAAGAGTGTGAAAGGGGCCAGGGCCACATTCATGGCTCGACGCCATTCCCGAGCGCCATTCCCGGCGCCTGCCGTCGACGGTCCGCTTGTGTGAGCCGCCTTTCTCGGGGTCACTTAGACAGCACCATTCCATTCCCGTCATTGGGACCTTAGGCGTGTGTGTATTGAGAGACAGGTGTGTCCAATCTCATCTCACGGAGCGCTTCCGACTAGGACTACATCCATAGGGGGTTCATGGAGCGTTGCTTCCGGCCCCCTTCCTTTCCAGACCTGCCCATTCCTCCAGCATCCCACATTCATCTCCCATCAGAAATGTTTGAGAGGGGACTCTCCGCTTCCATGCACACTCATACACACCCTCTCTCTCGCCCACAGACACAATCCTTCGCCACCCTCCCCTTGCAGGCTGGCAGATTGATGCTGCCGGCGGCAGGCAAAGGTTCAGTCTGAGTGAGACCCGTTGCTTTCTCATTCCAAAAGCAACTCCAGGCGAGGAAGACTGGGGGACGGCAAAAGCCGTTATGACTTGTCTTGTCTTTCAATTGCTTTTTCCCCTTCTGCCCACCACTTCCTTTTTTCTGATCTGCCCGAAGCGAAGCTTTTCCTCAGACCCCCCTTCCATCTCTCCTCTCCCTACTTCCTTTTTCGTCGGGACGGGATGATAGGTCACGCTAGCGAGGCTACGTGTGTGCTCACCAGTTCCAATCCTCGGATCTTTCACTCCAGCTGCTTGCGTAAGGTCTGTCTCGTACAGCAGAGTATTCTCGTGTGTCTAAAGTCGGGTCATGATACCGCGGCATGATGACCTCAAATGGTCCCTGTCCCTGGCAGGCCTGCATCAAGTGAGCTAGGAAGACGAACACTCGCATAGACTCTCATGGGAGCTGTTGTGACAGGGTCAAGATCCCGAAGTGATGCGTTCCTCAGCCACCCACATCATCTGCAGCTGCAGTCGCGGTACGATGTGCTCGTCTCCGCAGCCGATATTGCTTCTCTTCAGATGGTTCAATCGGGCCGATCGTCTGTCGCGCGGAGAACAAAACAATAGAGGAAGAGATGCAATCAAGGCCCGAGCCTCAAGTATATATGAACCAATATAGGTTGTCCAACTAAGCTCAATGTTGTCTATGTGATCGCCCAGAAAATGTGGAGGCTAGAAGTAAAGACATATCTCGATATAGATGGTATACAGACTTGATTCCTGTGAAGCCACTGGCCCGTGTCCTTTTTGGTATCGCCAATAGACGCCTCAAAGCCACATCTCAGACACAGCACGGGGGACCAAGCCAGAGGAAGCCAGAGGGGCACGTTTCGGAAACACCAAGCCTCAGGAACCTACCCTTCCCCTCTATATTTACAAGCTCACCCGCGAAGACCTCATCCCCCATTGGCACCACACCGTCATGTATCAGTAGCATATCACCTTCACCCAAAGGTGGCCGGGCCAAACTTCAGAAAATACGCATGAGGCAAACAACTTTCAAGCAACGGTGCGCAAAAAGAGGGACGCAAAGCCCACTCGGCTTGCCTCCCGTTTCCAATATACACTGTGGCTTGACCTCCGAGGGGCTGCAGGCCTGGGGCTGAACAGATGACACAATCGTCACACAAAGCAGGGCTCATTGATATATTTGTGTCGAGATACTAATCAAGCAGACACGCACAAGCATCACCACACAACAAAAAAACTGATTTCCTTGTATCACGAGACAGAAGAAAAAAGACAAACACATAAGAAATATGAAAATGAAGAAAGTGCGAAACAAGCAGTGATTGCCATCGTGAGGCAGAGTGGAAGTGACTCCGGGACGGGCGGGAGATCCACACCCAGCCGAGTGAACAGTGAGTTCGCCCCCCGTCCGCACCTCCGGGACTCAGTCAAGAAGCCCGGCGGCGGCGGCGGGGCCTATCTGTGTATCTGCATCCACCCCAAAGGCCCACACCAGACGTGACCGCGCGGTCGACCGACAGGACTTGAACTGAAGGGGGAAAAGCCCTCCAGAAACAGCAAAGGCTCACATTCAAGCAACGGCACGCCCCACCGACGCCGCCAAATCTGCAGCGCTTTACTACTTTAACTGCTCGTACGCCCTCACCGACCCACCGGCAGACAGACAGACAGATCGCAAGTTCCTACGTGGAGGGTGATACGAACTGAAACCAAACCTAGATTGGCAACGCCTCAGAGGACGGCAGTTTGTTGTTCCTGTATGTTTACCAATAAATTCATGCAAAGGAAAGAAGCACACACACACACACACACACACACACACAAAACCAGCGAGTAGTTGTCCTGAATCATCGCTGCTGCGCGCGGCGCTTGACTCTGACTCTGACTCTTGACTTCCGGCTCTGACTCCCACAGCCCTTTTCCCAACCCCCCTGTGAATTGAGTTAGTTGTGTGTGTGTGTGTGTGTGTGTGTGTGTGTGTGTGTGTGTGCGCGCGTGCGGGTGCGTACGTGTGTTTCGTGGCTGCAGAACCAAGACCTGCGGGAGGGCCGCCTTCCGGCGCGCTAGTGTCCGGAGGTGAAGCTGCCCTTCCAATAGCTCCGACACACGGACGTTGCCTCTATCTCATTTTTTATTTTTTATTTTCATTCTTAATGCCCTATGTAAGTCTCTGCGTGTGGTGGAGGGGCTTGACTGTATGATTTGATGGCTCCACTCCGCCTTGAATGCACAAATACCCAATCTCGTGATTGATTGACCAGTCAGTAATTGTCGGCTCAGGCATGTGGATTTAGGTGTGCAGGTCCTGTGTTGAAAAGCGAGCAAGAGAGCGAGCGAGTGACCACCTCCCCAGCTAGCGCGACGAAAGAAAGATCGCGGCGGGTGTCCTGCCGCAACGTTGTCACCAGCGGGTCTCCCCATGGTTCTTTCGCTCGCTCGCTCGTGACTGCATGCGTGCGTATGTGTGTGTGTGTGTGCGTGCATGCATGCAGGGCAACCGCCTGCGCACCGATGGTTTCTGCGTTTTATTCCCAGCCCGACAATAATAATTGAGAAGGCGTGCAGTGGCGTCAAAGCCAAACCGGGGGGCCGGTGGAGGAGGTGTGGGGACGACCTGTCTGCTGTGTGTCCCAACTGTGCACGCTTTGCTGTACCTGGGTAGTGTTGAGCAGGGCCGGGAAGGCTACTGTAGCGCGCCCTGTCAGTTGTGGCTCTTCGATTTCTGCCCACACCACAAAAGCCAAAAACGGCTCCTAGGCAGACTAATTGCTGTTAGCCCTTCGTCCCATCCGCCTTAGCTCGGTGTGCCTGCGAGGGATGCTTGCGGGCATGTTGACGAAATCTTGCGATACGAGCAAATGCCAGCATGAACAGATCAGGCCAGACCAGGTCAGACGGGACTGTTACAGTAGACTAGCAAAAACCATTCAGTTGTCGATCATGAGTTTGCAGCTTGCTCATCGTGTGCTGTACTGTAGCTCGGTCGACCTTGTCTGCCAGTGTCATGGACAGAAAGGGAATGTGCATGCATAGTCGCCACCCGGGCAGCCGGGGAAGCTGCTGCAACTCGCGTGGCTGACCTATGGCCAGCACCCTGATGTCCCCTTCCTTCCACCTCCCCGATCAGCCCGCGGCCCTGGGACCTGACCTGCGAGTGCCACCCACCCGCCAGGCCACCCCGTTCAGATCAGGACGGGCGGAGGATGCCTGCCTGCTGTGTCGCAAGTGCCGGCAGGTGGGAATGCATCGTTCGTTGAAACGAGCTGAGGCCATCCTCGGCTTCACAAGACAAAACAGAGATCCCCATGCCGCTCGCGAATACGGGGCATGGGTTATTGCAGAATCCCATCTCTGCAAGGGACCCGTGGTGTCAAGACGGTTGAAACAGCAGAGGCAATTGGAGCTTGCTGCTGCTTTTGGGGTCACCGACCTCGTGGCTTCGGACACCTTATTCGTCGAACGACTGGCCAGTGCGTCTCTTCCCACGCCCCCCTTCCCACTCCCACCTGTGAGTTGTTGGTTGTTGTTTCGCGGCGTTTCCTCTCCCGCCTGCCCGCTGCGCTCCCGCTGGACACCACAGCCCCCGGAGATACCCAGTCGACCATTCCATCCGATCTATGCACGAGAAACCGTGTGGTCCGGTAAACGGAAAGATCCCCCCCCCCCAAAGCTTCCCGTCCCCCGGATTCTCGGGGTGGTCAAGTCAATGCGACCCCCGTCGTCGAGGACCACAAGATGTGCAGAAGGAGCCGAATCCCAATGTCGATTGCCAACACTTGGGGCCATCCACACCCTTCACGACGTAATTTGAAAAGGCATATACTGCCTTCCGGCCCTTTCTCGACGTAATTAAACTGTGATATCATCTGATATCATTTCTCTCGTGTGCCAGCATCCTGTCGAGTTCCTCGACGGATGGGGACGGCGATGAGATTGGGCGAGGCGAGCAGAGGAAACCCCGCTGACACCCTCTTCACGGGACTCATGAGGCTGCAGGTGAGATTGTGCCCAATGCCACCCATGCTATTAGGGGCGCTAAACACGGCAGTTGATCGACACACTGACCAGTCCACCCCTTGTCCCTTGCCCGCTAGCCCTGTCTGCCTCTATGTAGTGCGTGGTTGACAGCGGCGCAGAGAAGACGCAGAATAGGGTATCATCGCTCAACAACTAGGCTTCATCATTCCTCTTTTCGGCTGGCCATGTTGCCCGCGCTACAGCCATTCGGGCTCCCCTGTCACTTCTGAGACGCCCCCCTGTGCGAATCATTACGGTGGGGTCACATATGGCAGCGTTGCTGGCCGTTGACAGGCTCAGATCGTCTTGACCCCACGCCTCGACGACGGGGAATATGGGCCCCTGGCCAATCTCCCGAGCATCGGGTCAGCGGGATTCGAAATGAGGCTTCCCAGCAGCCAGGGTTCCTCATTCGGGAAACTTTGTTCAAGAGCTGCTGCAGCAGCTAAGCACTGCCTCTGCTTATTGCGGTAGTCGGGTTGCCACCACACACCGAGAGAGGAAGAGGTGGGGGGGGGGGGTGCTGGGGGCCGTGTTCCTGGAAGCAGACAGCCAACCCTCAAGAGGTCAGTCAGTAAGTCACTCACTCAGCTAGGACTCGACTGGGGAGACCCGCATGCCTAGATCGCAACCTGGTCCTTGCGGACGGCGACCCCTCGACCCGCAATATGGCATCGCTTCCGCCGAAGTTTGTGTCGACAAGGGCTCCGACCTCGCTATGCCGGGCGTTGGCGTGAGCCATGGGACTCATGAACCCGGGAAAGGCTACCTGGGGCGCAAATTACCTTCATTGTGATGTTCGCTCCTGCGTCGTCGACGCCCACACCTTGGGACCCTTATACCAGGGGTGACAAGGCTTGGTGCTGATAGCAGACCTGCAAGTCAAAACTGTCATCGTCCGGATTAGGCAGGCAATGCGTGACAGCTCGGGGCCGGCCAATGATGCCTCTGCCCGGGGGGACGAGATCGTCCCTCTCAGACCCTCTGTCATCCCAGGTCCCTGGGTCGAGCAAAGCGACTGTCACCACCGGAGATGCGGTCGTATCTGGGAAGGTTGATCGAGGTACTGTACATCTCAAGGATGCGTCCGAATAGCGGTTCGAAGTTTGCCTCCCAGCTCCACAAGGACGACAACAACACTCGGATGGATCTCCACGCGGCCACGTGCTGTGATGGAAATCTCCGGCCATCTTGCAAAGACAAGAAGCGCGAGTGGCACCGGTACAAGGCTGCTGCTGGTCGACTCCTGCCCCCTCCCAGCCACTCACTATACTCCTGCACGGATACTCGATGTCATCCAGGCCAGTTTCCTGCCAGGTCCACACCGACTTCCTCTGAGCTCCCTAATGCACGGGGCAACCGCCAAGATGACATGGCTACAAGAGTCCCACAACGTACGCGTCAACTGCCATCATTTGAGTTGTGGCCTTGCGGGTTCCGTTCATAGGCACACCCTCTCATGTACGAGTGGTAATAATGGTGCAATCTTGTTACGAGATGAGGCAAGTATCTCGAAGAGGTGAGGTCAAGGTTGGAGGGCGGCTCTAGTCGTCCAACAAGGGTGCATGGTTTGCTCTCGGCGACGTATGTCCAAATTGCTTCCCCAGCTTTTTGTAATTGCCGTCCGTAGCTGCCCCGGATATTTGAGTTTCAACTCGACGGTTTGGGACAGGAGCGCTAATCTGGCTGATCATTTGGGATTAGCAGCCAAGAGTTGGTCAAAACTGGATGTTCTAATGTTTGTGCAATCTTTTGGCTTTCGAGCCGCAACGGCGGCCGTGCTCACCTCGGGTGGGGCTCGACCGATCTTCTCCGAACATGGCGCACCGACCACGTTGTTGAGGTCCGCTGTCACGGAGCTTGTTGGAATCTGTTGACCAGGACCCATGACCTCGAAATGAGATGGAGAATGTGCCATCGAAGCGGGTCCCCCTATCCTCCTCTTCCTTTTAGGGAAGTCCATGCGTCTGAGAGCCTCTCCCGGAGCGTCAAGAGGATCTGGGGGTGGACATGACACTGGTGCTGCCTCATCAAAAAATGGCCCACAGTCAGCTCAGGATGTGTACGGAATGCACGCGTGCTGAACGGCACCTGCAACCATGACCGTCGGTGGGGTGCGCTAAGTCAGCACCATACAGTAGAGGCTTCGGCTTGGTTCATTCCACCTGCATGTTGCAGACAGAGGCTGCACATTCGTCGCTTGGGGAAAAGGACAAATATGATACCTGAAGTTTGCTGACAAGCTGGCGCCCTGCCTGGCAGAACGGCACATACTGTATGTCGGAGGGAATGGTGATGTAGTCCCGGTCGCCTCGACAATGTGCCGTGACAGAGAGAGGCCCATGTGACATGCGGTCCCCATCCAGCAGTGACCATGCCCTTTCCTGCTGTCCGCCAAATTACTCATCCAAAACCAGAGAGTGGCATGGCTCGTGCCGGGTCGCGTGGTCCCAGAAGGGGAATGGAGCAGCGCTGGGCAGATGAGCTGATGAGTTTATGCACCTCTTTGGGCTTGGGCTCGAGTGTTGGTGAGCACGATAAGGGTCTGCTTGCTTGCATGCTCATCTCCCCTGGGTCCCATCGCCATCTTAGCACGGTAGGCTTGGCAGTGGGCTCAGTGCATCCTGGTGTGGTTGTGCTTTTGCTTCGAAGAGGCCGCCTGTAGCAGATGTGATTATTCTACCAGAGTTGCCGTCCTACCTTGTGAGGCTGTGACGTTGGTGGTAGCACTGGAAACATGTGGTATCCGCCATGCTGGGTTGCTACCCCGGGCCTCAAACACACCAGCAGATCACAATCGGGGGTTTCGCAAAGGCTGGCAGGATATCCAGGTTATCTGGTTGTACGCGGGGGTGGAAGCGTTCCGCGAGTGAAATGACCAGCGGAAGGGACAAGGGCTAGCAAGGTGAGCTAGGTGCAGCATGTGAGCAGGTACCAAGGCAATCAATCTACGGTATGTTCCATCCACGGCTTGCAGACGGCCTGCCCTGTGTCGGAGGGCGGCGCTGCCTGCGGCATACGTGGGATGAGGCGCCAGGGTGTGATGTCTGGATTGGGACTGTTTCCGCTGTCATTGGCCTGTTGCTTGGGGGAGGCGTAGCACCAAAGCTTGGTTCGTGGGTGGGCTTGAAGGGACGTCTTTTGCTGGTGTTATTCCCGGATGCTGCGCTCCCGTTGGTAGCAGCTTTGTGGGCACCCACTCCCACTCCCACCGCTACTTGCAGGGGCTGGGGGACAGCCGCCGTGTTATGCAGTGCCGCTCCGCTACCAGTGCTTTGCATCGTGGGACTGGACGGATTGTGGACAACAGGTGGCCCACCACGCTCAAGTCCGTCCACTTCCTGCCAGGAAGCAGCAGGGGTTTGGGCACAAGCCATAGGTGCGCTCTCCTCCTGTCCGAGGGAAACGTGGTGTGTTAGCGTGAGGCGGTGTCTTGCTGCTTCCGTCGATATTCGAAGGCTGGCGGCTGGCGAGAGGGAGCGGGGTGGCAGTTGCAGCCACGCGCAGCGGAGGGAGGCGACCGTGGTCCGTGACGGCAGTGCGGTATAATTCCTCGGTAAAGCCCTCGACAATAAACGCCTGCGTGGAGCTGCGTCGCTGTCGCTGTCGCTGTCCCTGATGCGGCTGAATGGAGTGACGTATGTACAGACAGTATCCATGGGATTTAGTCGCAAATCGCGGGAGATGGCCAACCCACCGCACCAGACCGGGGGGCCAGCAAATGTGGGCGGTCTGATATCTGATCAGCCCGCCTTGAGATGAGGTCGAGATGCGTACTGGCGCGGTACACTACATTGTGCCGTACTGTGCAGACCGTGAGTGGGTTCGTCTCGCCTGGGCCGGTTGGTCTCTGCTCCCTGGGCAGCCTGGCAAGCCTGGCAGCAAGCCCCATGGTGATGGCTCTCAATCCTGCTCTGGATCTGAATCTGATGCTGGGGCCCGTCGAGAAGGAGACTGCATGGCATCATAGGGCAGGATAGACGAAATGAAGGGCGGCGCATTGCAGCGTCAGCGCAGCCTGTTGAGGCCCAGTGAGTGCCGCAGGATTCACTCAGACCAACGCCAATGGACGCGCTGCTAGATTTCCCGGGAGGAGCGCACCACTTGCGCGGGGGTGTTCTCATCGAGCGAGGGAAGTGGGAGGCAACAAGGTGAGGGAGCGGAAAGGACGACGTCAGAGGGCGCACCAGCAACGCAGCACGCACCCAAGAGACTGGATGACTCGTGCAGCATGGGCAATGGGTTGTCTGCCGTGTCACGCAACTTGTTCCTTCCCGTCCGCGCCCGCAGCCCCAGGTCCCAAGTCGCAGGTCCCAATGGCCATTCCGACCCCTGGGGCTACCAAGTGATGCTGAGCTGGGGGTGTAGAGGCCTGCTCTTTCTCGTCTTGGTGATTGGCAAATGAATCTATTCAATCATCTCTGCACGACGACAGCCGCAGCGACAATGCTACCGTGTGGACGTCAGAGCGGCTTGGCGTCGAACTTGGGCTCGTGCTTTAGGCTGCGTACAATACAATACATACATGAACGAGGCCAGCGGTGCAGAGGAAGGAGCTACCGAAGCACAAAAAGTGGCTACGTAATGTAGTACCTGAACCGGCTAGCCCGAATTTTGGTCGATTACCCGTCCGTGCCTGCCTTGCTTCCTTCGGGGAGAATAATTCCCCAGCCTTGCCCGTTTCAGCATCACAGCCCTGGACCCCAGGGACAGAACAGGTGAAGGAATTAGGGGGGGGGTGGTCAGGGAGACTGTTTTGGGAGAGAGGGTTGTGTTTTTTTTGGTCGTTGGGCACAAGACCAGACGAGCTGGACGAGACGGCCACCAACCATCCGGTTGCCCGTCTCGTCTCGACGTTTTGCAGGCGGTGTCATCCGTCATGCCATGACATTGTACTCCAGTTCTTGATGCGGCACACACATTCACACCTACATTAGCGCCAGATACTATCGTCGTATTCCAAGGAAGAAATGAGATGACAGCTTCACTCCATTTGTCCTCTGCTCCTATTTCATCGGGATGGATGGATGGATGGCCTGGTGGCCTTTGCTTTAGGACAGTGTGATGTCAGTGGGGTTTCACGATGGGGAGCCCACCTCCACCTCCACCTCCACCTCACCTTCTCACCCTCGCCCTCACCTTGGCCTCAGCTGTTCCTTCCCGCATCATTCCTGGCTGAGGCGCTGACAAGGGAAAGGAAAGAAGTGGGGGGTCGGGAGTAGTGGAGGGAGAGCGCATCTTGCACGTGCTTGACCGTGGCATCATATGAAAGCAACAAGCCAACGAGAGCGAAAAAACAAAATGAGGGATCCATCTCCCAATCGTCTGATGCGAGAAGGGTCTTGTCTTGCAATTCGGACTCAAAACACCTCGACATGCATGCACGCATGCAGTCCAATCCAAACCAAATTGTGCCTACTGTTATTTTTATATCGCAGTCCACCCGCGCTCCACACTAAGCTGCTCATGTGTTGCTCAGGTGCCGGCCTCATCTGATTCAGTCGACGCTCCCCAGACCCCCCTTCAGACCCCCCAAGCCCGCATCTGCCTCATGCTTTCCCTTGCATTGGACGTATCGGTACAGAGCGTTTCCCTCCGCAAGGGGGGTCGGGCCCCACTCGCTCACAAGAGCCGAACCCACCGCCGCCTCCGTCTTGTCATCCTCGGACACAGCGCATTGCGTGTGTCCTTCCCCTTGCTACACTGCTTGTTCCTCCGAGTTGATTCATGTCTCGGATCGTGATAAAGTTAACGTGGAGATGCTGCCAGACGAGATGCCCCAGGGAGTCAGTCAGTCAGTCTCTTCTGTCTGCAACACGTGGATCCCAACACAGCACAGTACCTAGACTACATCGCCTACGCCGCGACCACCTAGACAGGTAGGTAGGTAGGTAACGACAGCAGTGACCATGCCTGTGGTTTTTGATGAGACACAAAGGAAGCACGGTCATTTTTGACGGTACTGTGCAGTAGCGCCTGTCCCATGTAGACTCTGTCCCACAACCACCACCACCATCAGCACCATGAATGATTTGTGCAGCCCGCTTGTGGCTGCTAGACCCAGCCCCTCTCTATTTCGCCTCCAGGCAGAGCAGCCACCGCCCATACAGTAAGCATCGCATCCCGTCGCATCCCGTCGCATCCACATCGCATCAGTGGCGCCTGTTAGCCTGGGCTGGTTGCGACAACAGCCGAGACAAACATGAGATTGGCTTGAGCAATGGCCGTTTGACTATTATCATCTCCCCAGGTCAGGGTATTCCTCCCAAGTGATATCATTCTCGGATTCTCAGGGTCCTCTACCTGGGGGTGTTGAATCCTCCCTTGGCTTGTGCACAGTCTCTGTTGAGCAACATGTCTTCATCCGGTAAGACCGACCCCGTCGAGATTGAGGCCCCATCTGGAAAGGGTAGCATGTGGGTCATTTCTTTTTGCTCCCTTGCCTCCTCCCTTCCATCTCCATCTCCTCCCAGTCAACAAGCGGAGGAAGGAGCACTGTACAGAGTACTGTTCCCAGGTATACTGGGACGGCGAGTGGTGGCAGGCAGTGGCAGAACGTGGTGAACGGCCAACAAATTCAGCTCAGCTCAGCTCAGCTCGACCCAGCCCAACCCAGCTCAACCGGGCTCAACTCAGATGTCGAACTCAGACACGACGTTGAGATTCAGAAAAATCGTGCCATCAACCAGCAAGTCAAGATTGGTTACCCCTCGTTCCAATCTCTCAACCCCCGGCATTGCGAGCCCTGCTCCCATGTCCAGTCTCTCGTCAGTACGAATGTGTGCAGTCTGTACAAAGTACCGCTACTGGCTACATGAGTGCAGAGAGGGTCTCCATCACCAAACAAGCACCAACCCCCCACCGACCACCAAGGCCAATGCAACGCCAGGAGGGCCCACACCAACAATTGAAGCGCGACATCTCCAGTTTATCTCCACACTGGTTCAGCCAGGGTGCCCTGTCCTCGTCTGCCGTCGTCCCTGTGTGTGTCCCGGCCCACACCACCAATTGACCGACGAGTTGCCTCATCTCTCGACAGACACACGCCCCCCCCCGGGCCACCTTCTCTCCTCTCCCCCAGTCTTACTCAATTCCAGTCGTCCAGTCGTCCCAATCCCTCTCAGTCACTCTCTGGCCCCCTCCAGCAATTCTGCCTGTGTGTCGCCTCCACACCCCCTCCCTCCTCAATCCCAATGCATCCTGGTTGGCCCCGGCTTTTGCTGCTTCTGCTTGTGCAGCCAGCTTGCATATGCTGCTAGTCCGCGATTGTCCAAGGACCCTGTCAACGGCTGGCCTACTACGGGACAGCACGAAACCCCTTGGGTTGGATTGGCTTGGTCCGTGAAAGCGGCGAGGGCGTGTGCGCGTGCGTGAACGAGCGAACCTGGGGCGTGCAAGGTGGGTGCGTAATGCAGGGTGTGTGGTGCGACTGTGGTGTGTGGTCACTGCTCTGTATGTGTGTGTGTATTCTCTGGTGTATGGGTGGTGGTGGTGGTAGTGGCTCGTCCTCGTCCTCGTCCCCGTCCTCGGCACGCTGCCCTTGACCTTGCCCTTGACGGCACTCGACGCTACGCTACATTGCTCTGGTACACGCCCTCGCTCGCCCGCCAGCCAGCCAGGGCACAGCACTGCACCCAGCGCAGCACCAGCACCGGCGCAGCTCAAGTCACGGCGGCGAAAAAGAGAAGAGCCAAGAGCTGGCAATACCTGACCTCACTTTTGCCTTTCATCATAGCTCCCTCCCCTCAATCAGAGCGCACTCCCGCCCGAAACCTTTATGTAAAGCTTGGCCCGCCGACGCTTTTTTTGCCTCCCCCCATCAATCGAGCAAAGCAGGCTGCTCTTCTGCCATCACATTGAAATCCCCGAGCTCCAACGTCCTCTCTGACCGGCGATCATCTCTCTCCCAAAACAGCTGGCATTGGCACTCCAATTTTCCCCGTGCCATTGCGACCTGGGAGTCCCCCCAGCAGAGACACTTAAGATCGGCTTTGGAACTTTCGCACGCACGACCACTGCCGATCACCAGAGGCGCGGCACACTACTCGTCCGTCCCTCTCTCAAACAAACCTACGCTGCACTGGCAGAGACTGTCAAGATTCGCCAAGACGTCACGTTGGCAGCCGCCTGGGAAGAACAACACCAGACGTCGACACGCCCACACAGTATCAAAACGGCCCTTTTCCTGACGCCTCTTTCTCTCTGGCTGTCTGCCTCAGTTATCTGTGCGCAGGAAGACCAGCACGTTGCAATTGCACGAGGTGTGCTCTGGGCTCCACGCTGCCCGGCCCACGCGGTATCAAACTGTACCGGTTCAAATCCTTGGAAGCAGGGGAAGACCGAGTGTGGTGCTCTCGTCGTCCATGACTCTCTCCAGTTCCCCACGCCTGCCCGAAGATTATCATCCCAAACTCCCGGCTCCTCCCAGGCTTGACCGCCCGCCGATCTTTGTCCTTTCTGTTGGACGACGCCAAAACCGCCAGCCCGCCCAAAATTGAACACCAATTGCTCCCCAATCTCAGCCCTGGCACTCGCCTGTCCCACCTTTCACACGGCCCTATCTCCTGGTCCTTGTCTGCCCAGGACTGCCTGCCTGCCTGCCCAACCCCATCCCTGCTGGCTGCTCGACCTCCTTTTCTCAGGACGGCTCCTTGTACCGCCGATCGCTGCTCTCTGCTGGAGTCGTCACAGGCCCGCTGAAGACGTGTGTCCCCACCAGTCCCGCGCACCAGCAGCGACCAAGACACAACGTTCGGACGAGCCTTTTGGGTCCAAACAACCGATTGGCTCCATCGCGCTAGTCCTCACCTTCCACAGGGGCCACTGTCTCTCTGCCGTCTTGTCATCCTCCAAGCTGGTTCCCTCGCGGCGCACTTAAGGTCGCTGATCCCTCCGTTCTCGAATATCTCGCGTGTGCGCTGGATCTCCAACCAGTCTGATCGATTTCAAGGGAACGAGGTCAAAAGTCTTCCGTCTCCCACAAAGGTGACACGACTTTAATCCTTCTACGGAATCCCGCATCTGATCAGCGAACCTTTTTTCTCTTCTCCTTCCGCACCTTTCCTACCTTGACACAAGCTGCTCCTCCTCCCCCCACCACCCCCCTTCCCCACGAAAGACGAACCCACGCGCGACGAGACGTGAGCAAGAGGACCATTCTTGCCTTGACCGACCTCTGGAGCTCGTATACGCATACAAAACACACACACACACACACACACGCCACAACACCCGTCCAATATGACGATGACAATAGACGCCAACCAGCAACGCTACGGACATCTTCAATTCGATAACATGTCTTCCTATCCCACACACTCGCCGCACTTCAGCAACCCCTGGGCGTCGTCCACGACGGCCCCTTCGAGCCACGCCCTGTACGTGGCATCGCAACCCGGACTGGCTTCCAACCCCATGGGCCTGGATCGCCACGCACAGCAGCCGCCGTCCCGGGCACCAGCCACTACCACCGCGCCGCTGGCCCCGTATGGTTCTGTCCCGGTGACTTCAGCCTCAGCAGGCAGCCCTCTCAGTATGGTGGACCCTTCCCTTGCAGGAGGACAATCGGACTTACTTTCTGTTCCCCAAGATCTCCTCAGCATCAACCGCATGCCCCATCCCAGCTCCGCACCCTCATATGCCGAGTCTGCGTACACGACCGCGGCCTCCCCAGTGCATGCCACCTATGCTGCGTCGCCGACCAGCTATGACGGCATGGGTTACCCGTCCTCCTCCGTGCGACACAACTTCGGTCTGGCGCCCGAGGCCGATCCCCACAGAAGGTATTCACAATCATCAGTCTCGTCTGGCGCATCCTACGATCACCAAGTCGAAGGCCTGCCTCCAGTGCCCAGGAGTTCACTTATTGACTTTCGAACCGACAGAGGTATCAATGACGACCGCCGAAGCTTCCAGGACGCCATTGAGGCCAGCCATGGTATGCTCTCCATGAAGTTCGACACGAGCAACCAGGAGACCCCTCGCGCCGGTGTCTACAACAACCGCGGCCGCGCCTCAGGTGACTCTTATGGATTCCCCTCGGCACATTCGACGTCCTCCAGCGTGTCTTCGACAGGCTTCAGCCCCTACTACGGATCCGTTGACGGAAGCGTCAGCGACTACTCGACAGCTGGCTCCGATATTGAGTCCGTTGGGGGCTCCAGGACTCTCCCACGCCCCCAAGGTCTGATGCCTAACCAGCCCCCGGCACCACAGTCCATGATGGGGCAATTCAGCTCCAAAGTGTCCAGCAGCACCCAGAAGAAGCACAAGTGCAAGGTCTGCGACAAGCGCTTTACACGGCCCAGCTCATTGCAAACACACATGTACAGCCACACTGGAGAGAAGCGTAAGTACAGCCCTGCTGTTGCGTTTGTCGCTGAAAACTGGTATCAGTTGATTAACACGTTGGTTGCAGCTTTCAAATGTGAAGTTGAGAACTGCGGTCGGCATTTCTCAGTTGTCTCCAACCTCCGGAGACATCGCAAGGTGCACAAGGGCGATGCCCGATCTGACGCCGGCAGTGAGGATCACCAATCCGATTAGAAGTTCTAACACGACGACATGCTCTCGAGCTATCCCAATCGACACTAGATCCGCGACTGTACTATATGCGACCTCACGAAGCCTCACGTCGACCGAGTCGACGAGCGGTTTCATTTACTCTTCTTCGTTCACGCATCGCCAGTTGGGCCGATAGATTTACCACCTTCTAATTCTCATCATTCGCTGTCTATACCCTTTTTTTATGATTCGTTTTCAGCCTTTTTGGTCAGGTCATGAGCATAGCCGACACGGGTGCATCGGCAGGAACTACTAAGAGCTGGGTCGCGTCGTGCATATCATCCCGGAGTGGGATGGAGCCTGGGTGCGGCAAAAAGTTGCATGTTTCAAAGTTTTGGGGTCAGAAGACTTATACCCGGTTGTTCGAACGAGAATTTCGGTCGTTTTCGGCAATGCTTTATTCGATTCCACGGATGGCGGGTGCCTCGAGACTACGGTCACCATCCGACTAGAGCGAGCGAACGCGGGCGCGCGAAGGGTCGGCCCGACGACACACGGAGCAAGTTTTAAAACCGGCAACCGAGTCTCGACCAGCAGCACATTCGAATTTCGATCGGTCGCTATCGCTTGCCACCTCAGTTTCGGGCAATTATCTTCCCGCCTGGAGCCACATCACCTTTTTGCGATGCGATTCAAAATATTGTTGTGGATGTTGATCCCAGGCCCTCCTCGGTGGCAGGCCAGGATCAAAACACACTCACATGGTCGGGTCCTATACCATTGAGTGAAACGGCGTTCAATGGTTGTTTTGGTTTTTATCTATTTGTTTTTTTGCCTGGCGGATTAGCCTCGGTGTCAGGATCATGTTTGTTTACTGGGCGGGGGAACTTCGGTCACGGTTTTGGTCCCATCTCTGAGCCGGCGCTGCTCAATGTCTATCGCTTGATACCACCAACCAACACACAACCCACCTAATGTCTTTCGCTTATACATCGATACCTGGAGCAACAAAACACACACCAATCGCTCGCTAATTACTACACTATATACATTTATTGTATTTTACGGTCGCTACACGGAAACTGGAGGCTGGGAAAGGCGGAAATACACCGGGAAAGGGAAACTAGATGTCTCTGTCAAAGGAGACGGAGCCACCAGCACGGGAACGGGGAAGGGGCAGGGAGGGGGAGGGGGTCAAAGGAGTCGGCTTTTTGGGCTTGTGTTGTGCTTTTCTCCTGGTCATCTGTTGCGCATGATTTCCTTTTTGTTCTATCTACCCACCCACCCCCAAACACCCCACTGATGAACTGTGCGGTTTGAACTTTGGGGGTTTAAGGGATATTGGGAGAGGAAAGAGAACAAATACTCTTGTCACTCGAATGTACTACTAGCTGAGCGAAAGAAAGTCGATTTGCGACGAGGCTTCTTCTACAGCCTTGATCTCAAAATAAAACTTCTTGGAAAGACAAAAACAAAGGCATCTTGACGCGTGTGTGTGATAACTGCCGCTTTGGAGTGAAACTTTCTTCTTGTCAGCTTTGGAATCGAACGAACCATCTTCAATTGCATGTGAGCCACGTAGACAATGGGATTTTCATTGCAACTCCCAAGACACGCGAGCGAGCCAAGTCCAAGACTATTCTAGTCCTGCAGCAAAGGAAAGGAAAGAAGAAGAAGAAAAAAAAAACTCAAAATTTCTCGTATCCGCCTAAATTCTATCCTATGCCTATCTCATCCGCGCCAGCCTGACATGACCTGACCTGACCAGCCTCAAAGGGAAAAATCACACCACCTCAGCTGCCCACCTGCCTGCCTGACACCGACAGCGAGGCAGCAAGCACATGGGAAAAGACAGAAAAGCTCAGGGAACGAGTCTTCCGCCCCAACAATATACTTCGGACGCGCCTCGGCAGAGATCGATCCACACCCATCATCAAACCACAATATGGAAGAATCGGGACCTCTCTCATGTGACCGGGCAGATCAGCAACAAGGTGAGGGGACTGATAGACGGACAGATAGAGACGGACTGACTGACTGACTGACTGACTGACAGACCGAATGGCACGAGCCCGGCGTGTAGCGGATCGACAGCGACACACTCACAGGAGCACGTGGTTCACCTGGATGGGGGATCGGGGGGAAACAGGAGGCATGGGACGGGGGTGGCTTGGTTGGTAGCAGTAGCAGCAAGTGGCACCGTTGATCATCTCGTCTCCTTTCGGCTTTCGTCTCGTCCCATTGCCGCAAATGGCCCATCGACACCATTCACAAGCCCTGCCGGGCGACGATCTTATTAAGGCTCTATTTGTGTGGGTTCGCCCGAATTTGACTTTCCCCAATAGAAAGAACGATCAGCCAAAACTTAGGGGCATGTCTATCATTGCAACCCCAGGCGGCCAGGGCGATTCCCGTTCGTCCTGTCTGCCCCGTCTTACAATCACACTAGGCTGCACCACATCGCATTGGCAGGTCACGGGCTGCCCATCGCACCCAGCTCGGCGGGATGGGAACCAAATTAAGCGCTGCGTCCTGCGTATGGTTTTGCTTGATCGAGTACTAGGCGAGGCTTAATTGTAATTGATGTTCATTATGCATGCTATCGAGTAGGCAGGTAGTAGTAGCCACTGTATGGGTAAGTGGCTAAGTTTGACATGAAACAACACCCTGGTCCGACCAGAGCGATCTGCAATATCGGGTTCCCTCAGCCATAATTCGCTGTGGTCGATTGGGCTGTGAGGGATCAAGCAGCTAGCCAACCACATGACAATGCCAACGACATGACCTGACCGCGTCAAAAACTCAAACTTGTTTCCCAGCAGCACTGCCGCGGAACAAAAGAGTGGAGGTAGGAGGGAGGCACATTTACGCCCACACCCAGAGAGAGAAAGACAGGAAGAGAAGGGAGGGAAAGAGAGGCTGTTGGCTGCAGCAGGGCGGGACCCAGCACGCCATCCAAAATCTTCCCCGAAAGGTGTACGGACACGGAATGCTGTCGTCAGCTTTGGACAGGCACGGACGGCCCCGGGCCCCATTGCCCGCCCTTTCCTGATGCAACTGCTCTTCCAACGGATTCAGGACGTGTCAGGGAGATGACAAGTGACACATCCCACCAGAGAACGGCCGGGTCATCAAATCATGCTCAAGCACACTCTCCACTCCACGGCCGGCGGAGTAGAAGGTGGTGCATTGCAAGGCGCCGGATGGCTGTAACAGACACAAGGTCGCCCGGGGCTCTGGCAGTCACCGTGCTTCCTCGTGCGTTGCTGATCAGTGCCAAATTGCCAGGCACGCGCGTGTGCCCCTGTCCGTGATCAGCCTTTCACGTGTCCCCAGGACGTGGCTACCAGGTTGGATCCCAGAGGCACTGAATTTTCCAGGGCGAAGAAAAGAGTTCTCCACACTACGACATGAGTGGGGGCAAGGTGACTCGCCAATGGCTGAGTGCGGAACCAACAAGAGGCAAGGATGCTGATGGGTATCAGAATGGACGTTTCGGTACGGCAGTTTGGATGGGGCCCGTGGGAGGGGATGACTGGAGGAGATGTGGGTTTACTCAGCACTAGGAGAAAAACCTGCGACCGGTCTGCCGGTCAGGGCAGTGTCATGGAAGGAGGAAGCATGTCAGCGAGACACCGAGCAGTGATTGTCAGGTACAAGGGGGAAAGATCAGAAACATCCGGGGCAAGACTGCTCTGCCACATGCTGAACATGGCAGCAGATGAAAGGAGGGCCAAGCACTGCCGCGCCAAATATAGAAAAGAAGTGCCAACCCAACTCCAACGCAGGCGCTTGCCTGCCAGCCTATCTGTCGGTGGAGCGGACCACGACTCCGGATGAAGGAAGCTCCAGGGAAGCAGACATGAGCAAAGCTCCATGCCTGTGCCGGGCACCGCTGCCACTGACGCGAGGTGGGTTTTGGGGTCGCCGCTCCGGCTTCACTAGTGATGTTCGGCGCGACTAGGCGACTAGGGCCGATGATCATGGCCGAAAACCGCAGCACCCGAACTGTAGCAACGGCGGAAGAGACCCCGGGGCTTAGGATGGCTGGTTTCGACCAATGCCCTGACATGTACGTGATCCGAACCACGGCTTGGGTGGTGCACATGCTTGAGGCCCGGCGTAGCATCCGGCGCCGCACGGGGGAGGGGGGTAATTGAGGGATGGAGCGGATGACGATGATGGTCAGGAGGAGGAGGCAAGACGTGCGTGGCAATGCGACCACGGAACGGGTCCCGCAGTGAGGGAGATACTGTACAGTAACTGTTGGCCGTGTGCCCCGCGCAGGCGCGGAAGCAATTGAGTGCAGAGGTTGGTCGGCTTGGTGGTATGGAGGCCCGAAGAGGCATCGTGTGTCCGGGTCGATAATGTCATGTCGTTGGTGGGCAGCCGGTCCGGCGAAGCAAGAGGGTGACATTCTCCACCCCCTCGGGGCAGCCCCTGCAAACTTGAAACATGCTTGGCCAACGGCAGTGGGTTCCCGAGGCGGACAGGCGTGTTTATCGCTGCCAGGGTGGAAATGGCCTCGATAACACATTGGTGCGATGGCACGGGCGCGGAGCAGCCAAGCAGGCGAAGCAACCAGGCTGCAGCGCTGCAAGAGGTGTGGGCCTCGCAAAGGGGAGAGACGAACTTGGGTCCCGAAGGAGGACAAAGGGGCGGGCTGGCTGGCTGATTGGCCCGGGGGGCAGCGTGGTGGGAGGAAGCTGACCCTCGAGGCGAAGGAGGCGACGCCGGCTGGAGGGCTAGGGGCCATGATTGGGCCATGATTGGGCTGCTGAAAGTCAAACGGCCAACACGTGAGCGTTGGATGACGGAGGCAAAACGTAGCTGGCCTGCTGGGGCAAAGGGGCCGATTGGGTCCTGAGTATCCTTGGGGTTCGAGCGATAGGAGGCAGCAGTATAGATTTGATTGCGCCCAGCCTCCCAGCATTTTCGGCTACGCCTTCTCCGTGTGGGTGCGGGTGCTGTGGCTTGCGGGAATGATTTTGTTTTGGACAGCACATGTAACGCTGGGGGCTGTGCCAGCATTGCGTACGTGG